ATGCTATTGCAGCATGACCAATGCTAATAAAGCATCCGTTGCATTTTGGAAAGGTGAATTTAGAGATAAATGCATTTTCTATAGTCTGTTCCATATCAAGCTTGCAGTCGGAGTTTCTTCGGCAGATCGCTCCGATCGCTCAAGAATTTGCGTCGTAAAATGTAAGAGCTGTATATACAGAAATCACGCACTGCTTTCAGCAGTGCGTGCTTCAGCAGTGCAAGCTTGCAGCACTTCGACTGCAAGCTTGAAACGGAACAGAGTATAGTTGTTTCTTTTTTGGCTGTGCTATATGAGCTGTGTTGAGCACACACTATTTTGAGCTTGCTAGCTGGATAAATAAGAACTTATGTAACACACAATAGGAAGCCCACCTCGAAAGAGTCCCAGTCGCGGCTGGCGTCGTAGTCGTCTGGGTAGTCCTGCTCCTCTTCATCGGGCTCCAGAACGGGGTACGAGTGCGACAGACGGTAGTTCCGGTAGCTGACACTCACTGCACAACACAAAATGGGAACGACATCGTCATCGGGTATAAAAGGGCAGCTCAGCTCTGTGCTCCTGGCCTGATACTCCCCCGTAGGTGCACCATTCCGTTATGTATGTGACGGTAGATAATACGCGTGCTCGAGGAACACTCGCGGCACAACGTGCATTCACGCAACAGGTGACCCATAACGTGCTTGACTTATGAGGGCACTCAGACTTGTACGTCTTTGTTTCGCGACATCCCACGATTCTGGCCCCTCGTGCGATACATTAAAAAAAAAAACAGTGCCCGTTGAACATTGTCGACACACTCTGTCACAAGTACCTATCCATTTCGAAAAAAATCGGACACTCTCTAACGACTGGTGTCTGAGCTGTCTGAACTCTGAGCTACCTTTAGAGCCACCGTTGGCCTTGCGCTCCTCGATTTGCAGCAGCGTATCCGACTCGCGGTCCAGCTGATCCTGCATCAGCTGCGCCAGCAGCAGGTCGCTGCTGACGTCCGACTGCTCGGCGGCGGTCAGTGGCTCCTCCGCGGCACACGCGCCGCCGACCGGCTCCCAGCCGCCGGCCGCGCGCGCCAGCTCGTCCTCCCTGCGGCCGGCAACAGGCAGGGGTACTCCGGAGGCCGACTCGCGGACTAACGTTCACGTGCCACTCACGATCACTAATCACAACAAACTAGCCACGACACAATTTGTAAGGTCAAAAAAAAAAAATGCAAAGGCAATTCAGAAATATGCAAACAAATAAATGACTAAATTACTGAATAGATTATTTACTGTGAGCCTTAATAGATGCTTGTTACTCATGTCATATCTGATGCACGGTTGAAGCAAAAATGTCTGGTAGACACTGCAAAAGTTTGCCAAGATACAGGGTGAAACTTTAAACCTTAAACAGATGTCGCAGAAGCCCTTTTGAGTTGACAATTTACCATGAATGCTATCTTTTATACCAGTTATAAATTTTGCATAGGCGAGCCAAGGGATAGGGATGCATTGCAGTTATTATGGCCCCAACACTTTTAGGCAGCCTGTTTGACCCATTGAAAAACAAATGCCATATGCTATTTCAAGTTTGAATGATTTGAATAGAAGGATTAAAAAGCTAGATTTCACACTAAGCAGGGTTTGCTCAAAGGCCTGACCTCCAAGTGCACAAGCCAGCCAGGAAAGTTTGGATAACCAAAAATTGTGATTAATAAGACCAGCCAAAGAGAAGGGCTTCTATAACTGCCTATATGATTGACTTTCTGATTCACACCTTGATACCAGGAACAGCTCTGTGTCAACCCAACTTTGGATACTGACTTCAAGGAGTATAATTATCTACCTTACTGAGCTAAATAATATACAAAATACCTTGACCTTGGCCCTACCACAAGTTTTATCCTTCTATCTCTTCTCAACATTTTACCAACCAATAGCTACCTTTACCATTAACAACCATTGAACACCCACATGCCATCCTGCTCCAGCTGTCCTCCTTCAATTGGGCAACAACTTATGCCACTGAATATTAGCCATCAGCCACAAGCTCTCTTCCCCTTCTGAAATGCAGACTTGATGTTTTGCTAGTGTATAGTTGGTGAATAGCAGTTTATTTTTTTCTGATCTGATCCTGCCTTTACATGTTTGTTCCATCTTGACTGACAATATTGTAAACATCACTTCAATGTTTGTGTTGCATGCTGATGTGTATCAGGAGCCTAGCTGACCAGCCTTAAGCCTATGCACCATAATGGCCAAGAATCTCTACCACAGCAGTCTTCAACAAAAAGTAAGTCTGGTTTGTCAGTACCACCAACTCACTTCTTTTGTAGATCCATAGCAAGCTGCTCTGACATGACATCATCCAGGGATGTCACAGCATGCTTCACAGACCCCCAGGCTGATAAAGAAGCCATCTAAAAGGGAAGACAATCAGGTTACTACATGTGATGGCACTGGTGAGTGTTGTTATGTAATTGTCATCCTGAGCATACAACTGACATTAGCGACTATCAAGTATCAATGTCATAAATTACTAAATAAAATGTAAAATATCCAGTCTTGCAACTAATGACAGTAGCACTTCATCCCTCACAGGGATACATATACTATAAAGGCTTTGAAATTACTCTGACATCCAAAAGGTGTAAAATAGAGCAGATATTCAGGTTTTCATACAGTTTATACAGCCATCAGATCATAACACCCTAGACAGAGATCAGATAGGAAAGATCACCAGGAAACTGGAAGTTAGTTAGGAACCACTAACCACACATCAATATTAGAGCTTAGCTTAGATACCTAAATCTACCAATACTTTTTTGGCTTATGCAATCTTTAACTCCCATATGCCATTTTCTAGGTGTTTGTTTACATGTCATAGTTATACATGAATCCTCCAGTAGATACAAATGGATTTTTCAATTATATTCAACTTTAATTCTTGTTCATACATTAGCCAGCACACCCAGTCTTCTGCATTCTCAATTCAAACTGGAACTCTGCATGATCTAATATAATTATGGAAAACACATTTAACAACCTAATAAGCTATGCTGAACATTTCATAGGACAAAACAAAAATACAAATACTTTTAGGTTTTGTAATTTGAAGTGTCTGTAAACTGTAACAACTCAAACTAGCAAATGGCCTAAGCACCTGCCTTTGATTAAAAGGGACCGTGTATATCACACCACGGTGAGATTTACACAATACCGGCCATTTGTGTAAATCACACCCACCCCGGTGTGATATACACAAAATCTACTACGTAGTGTAAATCACACCCGGGTGAGGAATACACAGAGAGGGCAGCTGTGTGTATATCTAACCACGATGTGACGTCATAGCAACGCTGAACGTCCATTGGTCAGAGCAGTGACTCTGCTCGCCCATTGGTCAGATCAGACTAAGCACTACGAATATTCCGGCGGGATTCCGGGCGTCCTCTCTCTCGGAATCAGCTGACCGCCTGGCCTAGTGGTGAAGGTGCTTGCACCATGATACGAATGTTGCGGGTTCGAGTCCCGTCGGCGCGGGCGCTTTTTCCCGCATTTTCGCTTTTCCTTGGTAGCGGTGGGTTCGCTGCCGACCGACAAGTTTAAAAGCACCAATACAATATGGAAAGCGACGTCTGAATGCTCGTGGCGAAGCGGTGCAGTGCCGAAGGCAATGCCTTAGGAGAGATTACAGGCAATGGTAAGTCAAATATTTTTAGGTTAAGTGGTTGTGTATCTGGCTTCAGGCCGAAGGCCTGAAGCCTGATGCACAACCACTTAACCTTAAAATATTTGACTTACCATTGCTTGCAATCTCTTCATGCGAGTAACTTCTTCCTCATCCACGGGTAGGCAAAAATCAGTAGGTCAGGTTAGGTTAGGTTAGGTTAGGTTAGGTTAGGTTAGGTTAGGTTAGGTCAGGTCAGGTCTAAGGTTTGGTTAAGTGTCTTGTTACCGTGCCTACTGTGTAAATCTCACCCAGGTGCTGCGTGGTTTGACACCCAGGTGTGATTTACCCACTACCGAGCACACAGTGTATATCACACCCTGGTGAGATTTACACATTGGCTAGGCCTACTGTGTAAATCACACCCAGGTGCTGCGTGGTTTGACACCCAGGTGTGACTTACACACTAGGAGCACATTGTGTATATCACACCACGGTGTGATTTACGCATTTGCCGGGCCTACTGTGTAAATCACACCCAGGTGCTGCGTGGTCTGACACCCGGGTGTGATTTACACACTAGGAGCACATTGTGTATATCACACCCCGGTGTGATTTACGCATTGCCGGCCCACTGTGTAAATCACACTCCGCGTGGTGTGATATACACAGGAGTAGTGTATTGTGTAAATCACACCCGGGTGAGGTTTACACTACAGTGCGATGCATTATGTAAATCTCACCGTGGTGTGATATACACGCGTCCTTGAATCAAACCCAGCTTGAGCTCATCATTAAATACCAACCCACCTACGTTATTTGCGTCCCTGTTTACTTCCTGAAACTGCTCCAAAATCTGAAGATATCCTCCACCTTTCAACGACGAAAGACAACTACACACTTGACTACACACATCAACCCCAATCCAACCACGGCAATCCCACTGATCCACTTCAACTTGGCTAATCGCCCACGTTGACGCAAATCATTCCATAACATTTCGCAATAGATATGGCAGCCTGGCCCTAGTATCAATAAATAGCCTACTAAATACTAGAAATGTTGTACTTCAGATTGTGTGCTATTAACGTAAATATGACTTATGCATTTCATTTTTGTTCATTTTGACTTCAAAATATCAGTTTCTTCCTCACCTTTAAGATCTAGGCCGAATCCAAGCAATGTCTATGACTTAGCGACTGCCCGTTCATGATGCTGTTGGTCGAGTTTTCAGGCTTCAGGCACAAAACATACTAGATGAACCAGTCATACCATAATTTGGAAGCAAAACCATGCGGCATCTCTGAAGCGGACAAGACAAGAAAAAGTAAACAAAAGTTCCCCCTGTTGCCCTTGTCGAAGGCCGCAGACCGAACGCTTGAGATCAATCTTTGCATTGGGTAGGACCGTAGGGGAAGGTTAGTGTTTTTATATACCTTGGCCCTTGGGTAGGTATATGTAGACAAATTGGACAGGGATGTAGTAAAAAGCCAGTAGCCTACGAATATATATTCAAGAAACAATTACATATAATTAAGCGGACCGGTTTGATTTGGCAAGTCTCTATCGGAATTGATCAAGGAATTGATTTCATCAGGGTGGCCCTTTTCTCGAAAACACGGGAAGCTACATAACACGGAACTCATAGGCTTGGCCAAGGCTAGGCCCAGTAGCGGCGGAACACCTTCAATTAAGGGGGGGGGGGGCACTGTCGACTTTTGGTCCCATTCTTTCCATGCAACGCCCATAGGGCTGGGGGGGCAAGGTGCCCCGGTGCCCTCCCCATTCCGCCACCTATGGCTAGGCCATAGACCTCTGTGGCCGTGGTGCAATGCGATGTTGATATCAAAGATTTTTGACATCACCTCGTCGGACTTTGGTCGGACCATTAACGTGTGTACGGGCGCTGGGCCTGGGAGTAGTTCAAGCTGCCTAAGTAGATTTCATTAATGGACTTTCTGGCCAGACGGCAGACACCGCTTCACTCGCCAGCCCGAGTAGTTGAATGGGGGGGGGGGGGGGCTATGGAAGATGGTTTTATGCCTCATTTGTCCCTTATCAACGGCGCGGAGACTGGGTCAGAATTACTAGCATCTTTCGCCTGGTCAGTCACAATTAACACCTTCTGTTGGGAGCTAAAGGTGGGCCGGGGTCAGGGTCTCTGCCACATTCCGCCTACAAATAGGTACTTAATCGTGAATCTAGCTTGGTCGGGGTCCGATTAATACCATGACAAAGTCTTAGGAATGGGCGGCCGTATCGATGTAAGTTCGTAGGAACGATGCCAGTTTCTTGTTACCAGGGCAAGAGCAAGTCGCTGAGCTGCCGACAGTCACCGCGTCACTTCGTTGCCTGATGAACGACAGCGCGGCGCACGTCCGCACGTCGCTCGAGGAGCTCAGCTGTGTGGTGACCACCACCGGCTGGCCCAGCCTGCGGTTGCGCGCACTGGGCTGGCTACGGGGCTACCAAGTAGCCACCAACTCGGGCTACTTGGAGAGCGTCGGAGAGCCGCTCGGGCCGCATACAGTGCCGGTGAGTGACGCATCAGTTAGAAATTGGGATGGCTGCCCTCTTTCCGCCTCCCTCACCCTGTGTCATTATGATTCATAATGACAAAAGGGTCAATGTGGGCCCGGAGCGAATAAAATGAAAGTGGTACGGGGACCCGCAGTTGCTACTGTACACGAACCCTAAGTCTAACCGTCTGTCCTGTCCAGTAAGAAGTGATAACATTGATATCGACTGCCTGTCCCTGTACAAGAGCAGCTGAGGTTTTCTGTGCGTGCCCTCTGACAGCTTATCGTTGTTCCCTGTGAGGGTGCTGGGACAGTATACTCAGGGTCGCTGCACAGTAGCAACTGCGGGTCCCCGTACTCACTACTCAGTACTCATCACCCTTCCCCATAACGGGGACAGGAGTCAGGACATAGGTAAATCAGAAGAAAGCTACCAGCTAATGTTGAAGTCAGGCATTTTCGTCATGCACAGAAAATAGCGTCGAAACCGGTCCGTAGATGTTTCGTAGCTGTTTATCGTGGCCCTTTGAGTCAAATACGTATCATTATTAGCTTTATCTCATGTGTGCACTAAATGCCCTTTCCTCCTGACCTGACTGAGGTTCTGCCTCAGGTGGACCTGCGTTTGGTGGACAGTCCTCCAGCCAACAAACTGGTGGAGGTCTTCGGGGAACTTCAGATCGTCGATGGGCGTCCCTGCATCTTGGCAAAGGTAAGAAATATCCGGTATCCGCATCCGGGGAGACGGAACCTCATGTGACAGAAAGTGGAATTTCTTAGTGAGCTCTTCGGATGAGCAACGGCGCCTAGCTTTCACCAATTGATGTTGGATGATAGGCGATTTCTCGATTACGTCAACGTCATTTGAATGGTGACCTGCTGTGGTAAGTCCATAAAGACCGACATTTGGTGTGGTCTGCCAGTTTTTCAGTGAGGCGGACGGCGTGGATGCGACTCTGTACCATCGAGCTACGCAAAAACTGGCCGACCGTTATCCGCAGATTCAACGATAAAACAGTGGAGGCCATTTGCGCTCGAGGCCCTGGCACAGGGGTTTAAGATCTTAAGTTTCTTGAGACTTGAGATCTGGTGAGTACGACTACCTTGTGTAAAAATGTAAGCAATCGTGAGCTTTACTTGTTAATATAAATAAATATTTTGTAAATACTTGTGAAAACTCAAATTTTCATACTTTTACTTTTATCGCTAAAGAACACATTAACGATTAACATTTATATTTCCGAAAGACAACACTTGGATAAACTTAAGAACGACGTTCTTAGGCAATCATAAAGTATAAAACAAATAAAGTATCACGCACATTGCAAACGCACAAAAGCCGGAATCAGGGGCCGCATGATCCAACTATTCCTACCCTCTAGAATCGTGGGTCGTGACCAATGAAACAACCCTGTTCCATTAGCCTATCTGATTCAAAAAGTGTTTCGGTTCCAGAGCAGCACCGGCAAGCATCACTAGCAGAAAAGAACCCACTAAACAGCTCCAGGAAAAACTGGCATGATCCGGACGTAACCGTGGCAGTATGCAGAGACAGGGTCGTCATGGGAATGCGACAATGTGCAAGAAGTTGTCCGCGTAGCTAAAGTGCTGGCTGAGCCACTGCAGGGGCGTATCCATTGGAGGCTCGATGCCGTGAATGATCGCTCGTGCGTCGTCTGCAGGACATAGGTACATTTGTTAATGGGCTCCCGGAAACCTGTAATGGCCGAAAATGTCAAATTTCACCGCTTTCTGAAATCAGAAATATCTTAAAAACACAGATAGGAAGCTGAGAAAAAAGAGACGAGACAAATAAGAACAAACGAGCCTAAGAAAGGGAGCGGGAGCGGGAGCGGGAGCGGGAACGGGAACGAGAGCGGGAGCAGGAACGAGAGCGAGAGCGAGAGCGAGAGAGAGAGAGAGAGAGAGAGAGAGAGAGAGAGAGAGAGAGAGAGAGAGAGAGAGAGAGAGAGAGAGAGAAACAGAGAGACAGAGGACGGCGCGCTCACCGGTCAGGTCGGGCGCCAGCTGGGTAATCAGCTGACGCAGCGTGTTCTGCCGGCCGTCCTCGGCGCGGACAGGCACGGGCCGCTGCACATACGGCGCGCCGGCGCGGTACAGGCGCACTGGCACCGCGCGGAACGCCGACTCGCCCTCACACTCCATCAGGTGACGGTTCACCGCCCAGAACTGGTCAAACTTATCTGCCGGCCACGGGGAGACCCGCGTGGGTATGGGGCACATCGGAACGGTGGAACACAGCAGTCGCGAGGCAACGTGGCGCATCATGTTTGTAAAAATGCAAATCGAGTTGTCAGTTACAGCGGATGTGTTGTGTTAAATGATATATAAATCAATCAGTAATTCAAATTTAAAAGACTACACTGAAAATGAATTACAGTTTCAGTTTTCACTATGGCTACTGACCGAACGCGAGGCCGGTCCACAGTTGGCTGTGGTCTCGTTTGCCGAGCGATGAGATGGCAGACCCCTTGTGTTTTAGCTGATCAGCCTCTTTCACCGTTGAAAAGAAGAACGACTCCATGGCTTCCCTAAAACAGTCACATGCCCATAATCAACTAAAACAAAATTAACACCAATATCGCGATGGGTTCGTGATCGGTAAAAACTTACCATCACGGCATCATGTGTTTGTCCCGCACTATATAGGACGAAGGAAGAAGCAGAAAAGCAGAAGAAATATAAAAAAAATCTTTCTTAGAGATACTGAAATCGGACACCAAATTCTGGACATGTTACCATCGTGCTGATTGCAGGGAGACGTTTTCCTATATCAAGTAGATATCACATAACTGGCATAACTACCATAACATTGAGGCAGCCAGCAATGATAGGATCTCCATCTGAAGTCCTGTGACGGGCAAAACCAGGTCCCTTGTTTTCAATCTAGCCTCGATTGAATGCCGATGCCGCAGGGATACTGCAGGGTATACAATATCCACTTACCGTTTCATGAACGGACACTGATCTGGACGATCGGTGAAGTGGACGACCAGGTTCCATGGAAGAACCGAATCAGTCGCCAGCAAGTCAAATTGCAGACCAACCGGATAGTGCCTGAAAAGCAAAACGCCATTAGGTATGATGCAAGTGTGACACACAAACAGAAGAACAGAAGAAACAGAAACAAACAGAAGAAGAAGAAGAATGTGGATAAAATAATAGGCACTGATATAGAAGTTCATGGTCTTGAAGAAGGTGATCAGGTAATATATCTGTTTGGGAGGCAGTACTGGCAAATATTTGGTTAATTCATTCAATAGGTACCTATCTAATTAACTTGCGATCATTTGGAGTGCAGAGTGGACTGTGGTGATTTATATTGATTTCCACTTCTCAATCATGTTTAATTCACCTGCAGGAATTCAAGCAGAACAACTAGAGATTTCATAATCATTAAGGTTTTGACATAATGGGGTTATGTTACTGTCAATCTGATTATAAAAGCTAACTCTGGTTTACATACCACTGGAGAGGCATGTCTCCCCACTCCAGCCACACATCACTTTTTGCATGGTCTGGATGGACACTTTGTGAAAAATGTCGTCGGACCTGGAGAAAATAAAAACTAGTTAAAAAGGAACAAAGGAACAACTGATGCAAACATTTGAGTGAAACTGCAGTCCATGAAAAACATGAATTTGTAGCAACACCATTAGGTACCATAAATGTTTGGGAATCACTTGCCTTGTCAATAACCAATGGAAAATATGTCATCCTGGCTATTAGCATGTAGAATGGATCTGGAGCAGATACTGTGTGCACTTCATTGTCAGCAAGCCTGAAGCACACGGGCAGTCGTCCATCCCAGACATCTCTGAGAACTTGACGGTCCTCCAGCATCTTTCCACTGTCCTATATTTATATGCTGAAAATTTGGAACATACTGTCAACACAAACCAGAAAACAACATCTCAATGAAAATCATTTTTTCCCACCTCCAATTTTTTAAACCCTGACCCACCTTCCAACGGCCAACCTCAATTTTACCAAAATAAAGTATTAGCATTGATAGTTGTTTCACCTCCTGCATTATACCTGAAGTTTCACCCAGTCTTGTATTGGGTATCGATTCATGCTTTCAAGTTTCAAACTTTTTTCACTCTTTTAGGACGCCGGTGAAAACAGGGCGCCGGAGGGCATATTAGTCACGTGACATTTGGAGCTTCTCCCGCTCCAAGGGCCTTCTATATGCCAAACGTCACGTGTAAATTTCACGAACCTTGATCAAATCGCCCCAGGCGCCCTGTTTTCACCGTCGTCCCTCTTTTAGGGTCCTATCTGACTGGCAATTTTCCACTCATCAGTCATCTGCCTTCCTGGTGAGCAATTTTCCTTTCTGATACCCAAGCCAAAATAATTTTTGGAACGCTGATCTCAAATATTACTTCTGGCTTCTGCCCCATGGCCCTTACAATTGGTATTGATATATTGATGTATAATTCTTGCTTGCTTGTTTGACCTGTAAATCTCGGTATTAGACTATGGTTTACACTTTACAACTTTACAATTTCAGTACTCTACACCACTCCCCTCCCACGAATCAGCATCTATATTACTATTTGTTTACCTATTTATTGATATTATCATCACCAAGAGATCAACACTGGGTTTGTTCCCGTCGCTCCTCTAACCTCCTCTCGTTTCAAAAAATCGTTCCCGTCGCTCCTCCAAGCTCCTCCAAGCTCATCTTGATTTCACATCTCACCACCACCATTTGCCTTGCCTCCTCCCTCATCCCAAACGAAAGTTGGTTTTTTGGAGGAGGCTCTTGCGTAGACATATTTGGCGCACGTAATATAAATATGAATTGTTTATAAATGAGATTTGAGGGAAGTGGAAATGATTTTAGCGATTGATGACGATTGGATATCTTTAAATAATAATGTTTGATATCAATCTAAGGTTATTTTATTAGAAAGCGATTATTATCTCTTGATTTATGTTTGCGCGCCATAAATCGCCGACCGTTACAGCCCGCAAACAGCTGATTTCCTCGCGAAAATGTTCCCGTGGCTCCTCTGAAACGGCTCTCCTCCAAGCTCATCCAACCTCATCCGAGATTTTTTGGGAGGAGCGACGGGAACAGACCCAATGTGGGAATCTCTGCGCAGCATTTGTCTGATGTGCGTCATACAATCGAAAGATGCGGCTACTAAAATCGAGTTCTTGTTCTTGCATACCTTATAATAAAAAGGACATTGCTCGCGCAAATTCATTCTGCGCAGATGACTGACGAGTGACGTTGTTCCAACCAACGAAAAGTGAAGGCAAACTCTGAGTAGGGTTCTAAAATAATTCGAAATCGAGGCACAGACATATTTAGCTCGGTCATCAGTAAATCGGCCCAATCCCAACTTACGACGTGGCAATAGCTAGCTGGGGTCCGCGATTCGTTTGTCAAATGCCTTTTTCGCACGGCTATTGTCGCTTTTTAGCTTAATTTTCGAATAATATTCTTAACCATAAGGTCAAGAATTTGCAAAGGAATAAAGTATAGTCAGTCGTGATTTCCCAAGCCTGAGCAGGCGAACTGCTACACCACTCACGCTTCACCGTAGTGTAGGTACGTACAGGTCTCGCGGGTTTTAGCGGTAGGTTTTGCACCTAGAAAATTTAGTGTACTTCAGGCTATATCTTCGTCGTCTTTAGCTTTTAAGTGTTAAAGATGCAATCGACTTGTTGGGTAACAAGCCGGCCATGATCGTGTAAAATGGCTTCATCGTAGGCCGATTAGTATCTGAGATATAACCGGAAATGTAAAAGTGCAAAACCTACCGCTTAATCTCGCGAGACCTGTACCTGCACTTACAGCTTCAAAAACGTAACATGACCTATGCATGTTTTATTCTAAAAAAGACACTATGTTGAGCTGGTCCATCGCATTTAATGCCATTTCGAATCGGTATAAAAGGCGTACGATACTGACGGTTAGTTACTGTTCGCGACTCCCGAGTCGCGAATGTCACATATGGAAACTTCGAATTGGGCCTATGTAAATCGAAGGAGACACGTGCGATGAAATCTACTCATCAAACACCGATTCCTATAAGTCATTTTACCCGCGCCGATATACTTTTTTAAAATAATGCACTTAATTCAGCGTTACAATACCGGATGCCGATAGAACCATCGGTAAAATGTGCTGCTGTCGTAACATCATATCATGCAACACGTTCATATTATTTCGCTGGCACAATTGCTACTGATGGTTACCGTTTATATCGTGACATTACCCTGGACGATGATATGGAAGACAATACAACTTGTTATGTACTGGTCACTAAATGCATTGCGTCATGATCCACGAAACACATCTCACAGATGACATAAATCGTCTGTAGAAAATGTTCCCACATGATGCATCGAAACAATCGCAACAATACCAACTACAACCAACTATATGGTACCAAATAGTATCCAAATCGGTCATAAATCATGCATGAGTACATTTACGGGAATCATACTGACATGTTGCCAATACAGGCAACAATAACACAACAATTCTACATACTTTTAACGTTAATTTAAACCACAACCTTGTGTTAAGCTCCACCACCAATCCAGCCATCTCGTAGTTGGAAAGACCTTATCCTCGCTGACCAGTTTCCTTGGACTTTTGCGCGGCTGATACCACAGCCTTTATCAGGGAGCCTCGCACACCACTCTGCTCCATCTGGTAGATTGCTTCGATGGTACACCCTGAAAGAGAAAATTTTACAACTTAATTTACAATCCCCTTATGAAAAATTGTGATTGGTTGGCGAAGTTCGTCGCCAACAGACTACGAGACATTTTTACAATATAAGTGTTTCAATGCTTCGCCAGTTGTCATCGCCGGAATGATCATGAAGATTGAAGAAGGACACGACTCCACGGAACAAACAGCCACCAAACGGTTTCCAGCTCCAAGTCGCGGCGTAACACAAAACAAACATCTACCGTCGGTTCGTGCACAATAAAAAAGCCAGAGCAGCTCAAACCCGATAACTCGCCAACGGAAGGCGAACGTTCTATCAACTGAACCAACGTCTGACGGAACCACGTGCTAAGCTTCGCTCGTCAAAATTTACGAGCTAAAAAGATGAGATGAGAGTTTGTTAGGTTAAAAGTAAAAGCATCTTTTTTAATACGAACCTGCCGGTGAGCAGACGTCATCCTTCAGCGCCCCGGGGTGTTTGCCGGTCTCCAGAACCATCTGCGCGCCGCCGATCATCGTGTGCGCCGCCAGCTTGTAGGCCAGCGGGCGGGGAATGCCCATCTTGACGCCGCCATCGGCGAGCGCCTCCAGCATCAGGTAGATGTACGCGGGTCCTGAGCCGCTCAGCCCGGTCACTGCATCGATCAGTACCTCAGGCACCTCCTCACAGAAGCCCACCGAGGAAAAACACCTGCCGGATAACGCAAGCTCAGCACGTACTGTACCTGGCGTTGTACTAAATAAAACAATTGTTCCTAATATTCTGCAAATATTTTTCATGAATGGCCAGCCGTTAAAAAAAAAAAAAATACAAGTGAAAATGTGACTTGCTGGTTACATGTAGTTGTCAACGAAACGTGATAAAAAGAAGAAAAAACTCAAGCCGACAAGCTGAAAAAAACTCGAGCAGTCACATTTTCAAATTCAATTTCCAAAAACTTGCCAGGTATACATGATCTCAGTTTTTGTTTCGATGTGCATGTGAAATAAATGCAATTAAATAATATCTCGAAACCGTTGCGGTCATACGCCACTTTTTATGCCATGCAAATGGCGGTTTCGTTGAATGAATGGACACGTTTTCACGTTTCACAATATGATGCCAAGTGAAAACAGGCCCATCATTACAACTCCGCCAATCCCAGCTTCCCGACGTCGCGGTTCCCTCGCCGCTCTCCTTCCAGCCGGTTCTAGCCGCTTCCAGCCGGTTTTAGCCGCTTCCAGCCGGTTCTAGCATCATGCTGCCTTTGCCTCTAACTTTTAGCTCGTTTAAATCCCAAAAGCATAAGGCCACCTGGAAACGGTGGCCTTAGACTAAAGACTAATTAAAAAACTAATAAAGACTAACTAAAAGACTAAAGACTAATTAATCAATCTGATTTTGACTAGAATAAGTGATGACTGGACGAGGTGTTAAATCTAATCCAGATTAACTAAGGTGTAGCGACTAGCCTGGCAGCTACTTGTTTTTAAAACCACTCGTATAAGCTCCAGAGCCTTGATCATGACAACATCGAAACACCATGATATAGCAGTTAAATTCTCCATCGCCATTGATGGTGTATATATCTAGGGCTTGCAGCGTTATTTTCAATTACTGACCAATCTCTTTAAGATTTGTCCACTCCTAAATCAAGTCTGGAGCCAGATACGGATACCCAGCATTGTCGCTTATGCAAACGCTATAGGTCTGAGCCCGCGGACAGGACCAAGAGAGCGAGCGCGGACCGGCTAGGTATCGGGCGGGGCGGAATGAACGGTCCCTTTCCAGTTTCTACCTCAACGGCAGTTTCCGGTAACACGGATCGACACAAAATTAAAGGAAAAGGGCCACCTTCGTGAAATATGAAGATATCGTTGTTTTTCATTTTGACATTATTATTTTTCATTTTCTTTTTAAAACTGGTGCCAGAAGTGCACAATTCGCGAAAAGGTATTTAAAACTATTTAACATATTGGTACTATGTTGATACTCTCTATGGCACCTACTGTATGATGGCATAGCGATGACGTCACACTCAAGCCAATCAGCGTTCAGAAGACAGACTCGTCGGATTGTGTCAGATAAGCTGATTGGTTGAAGCTGAGCTGGTTGGAGCTGATTGGTAAAAAACCAAAGCCTCGCCGCGGGTGGCTGTATTGTCGGATAAGAACGCATTCCTGGGATAAGGACGCATTCCTGGCGTATTTTCTTTTAAAATTGCCGATAACTACGAATGGAGGCCGAAATCGGCCGTAAGGAGGAAGACAGGAAGGTTTTCGGACACGGGCTACAAGATGGCTATCTCAGTTTCAATCCCCATGTTAAAGGTGGCCCTTTTCCTTTAAAGGGACCCTCCCACCTTCAAAAAAGTTAATGAATTGGCATGAAAGTGATGTCGCTCGGTTCAGAAAGAGCAAAAACGAATATCTACCAAATTTCATGGAAAAATATTCACCGGTTTTCAAGATATTAGACTTTTACTTTTGTTTACTTTTTGGGATCTCCGCTGTTCCTAGCGACTTTATTTGAAAGTGCGGCATTTGTTGCGCGCAAAGCAGCATATACCACCGCGTGCTACAAATGTAACGGAAGTTAGCAGGGATTCAGCAGGGGTTCAGCAGGGATTCAGCAGGGATCGACGGCCCCTCCGATTTCGCTGAATTTTGGTGGAGAGGTGCAGAATGGTGTCCTCTATCGAAAATCCTAGTGCCAAAATGCGGGGAATCCATCAGGGGGGCCACAAATCCAAAAAAACAGTATGCCCTCAGGGCACAATCGACGAACTTTGAAAACCCTACTTCTATAGCCGTCAAAACAGCTAAACAAGCACGTCATTCGAAAGAGGACAAAATTTTACGTACAACGGTACCAAATATAGGGGTCTAGCGCCCCCCTGAACCGAACAAAACAGCTTCAAATATATGGGCCCGGGAGTATACCCTCGGGGCATAAATTAACGCTTTCAACAATTTCAGGCCTATAACATCGACAAAATCCAGCAATATGCACATCATTGGAAAGAGCGTAATTTCCCAAACAAAAAACCCAAGTAACATTTTTCGATGGGGCCCACCTGGGGCCCACGGGACCCAGTTGAAATTTGGGGCCCAATAGGGCGGCCCCTACGATTTTCTTTAAAATTGGCACAGACACTCTCCTGGGCCCCCTCTTCAATCTGGCTGAAGAAACCTACCGGGGAATCCAAAGGAAGGGGCCCAAAGAGGGCCCCAAAGAGGCCCTTTCTAAGTATTGCCCCTAATTTCGCGACCAACCCCGGCAATATGCACATCATTGGAAAGAGCGTAATTTCCCAAACAAAAAACCCAAGTAACATTTTTCGATGGGGCCCACCTGGGGCCCACGGGACCCAATTGAAATTTGGGGCCCAATGGGGCGGCCCCTACGATTTTCTTTAAAATTGGCACAGACACTCTCCTGGGCCCCCTCTTCAATCTGGCTGAAGAAACCTACCGGGGAATCCAAAGGAAGGGGCCCAAAGAGGGCCCCAAAGAGGCCCTTTCTAAGTATTGCCCCTAATTTCGCGACCAACCCCGGCAATATGCACATCATTGGAAAGAGCGTTATTTCCCAAACAAAAAACCCAAGTAACATTTTTCGATGGGGCCCACCTGGGGCCCACGGGACCCAATTGAAATTTGGGGCCCAATGGGAGGCCCCTACGATTTTCTTTAAAATTGGCACAGACACTCTCCTGGGCCCCCTCTTCAATCTGGCTGAAGAAACCTACCGGGGAATCCAAAGGAAGGGGCCCAAAGAGGGCCCCAAAGAGGCACTTTCTAAGTATTGCCCCTAATTTTGCGACCAACCCCGGCAATATGCACATCATTGGAAAGAGCGTAATTTCCCAAACAAAAAACCCAAGTAACATTTTTCGATGGGGCCCACCTGGGGCCCACGGGACCCAATTGAAATTTGGGGCCCAAAGGGGCGGCCCCTACGATTTTCTTTAAAATTGGCACAGACACTCTCCTGGGCCCCCTCTTCAATCTGGCTGAAGAAACCTACCGGGGAATCCAAAGGAAGGGGCCCAAAGAGGGCCCCAAAGAGGCCCTTTCTAAGTATTGCCCCTAATTTTGCGACCAACCCCGGCAAAATGCACATCATTGGAAAGAACATAATTTCCCAAACAAAAAACCCAAGTAACATTTTTCGATGGGGCCCACCTGGGGCCCATGGGACCCAATTGAAATTTGGGGCCCAATGGGGCAGCCCCTACGATTTTCTTTAACATTGTCACAGACACTCTCCTGGGCCCCCTCCTCAATCTGGCTGAAGAAACCTACCAGGGAATCCAAAGGAAGGGGCCCAGAGGCCCTTTCTAAGTATTGCCCCTAATTTCGCGACCAACCCCAGCAATATGCACATCATGGGAAAGAGCGTAATTTCCCAAACAAAAAACACAAGTAACATTTTTCGATGGGGCCCACCTGGGGCCCACGGGACCCAATTGAAATTTGGGGCCCAATGGGGCGGCCCCTACCATTTTCTTCAAAATTTGCACAGACACTCTCCTGGCCCCCTCTTCAATCTGGCTGAAGAAACCTACCGGGGAATCCAAAGGAAGGGGCCCAAAGAGGGCCCCAAAGAGGCCCTTTCTAAGTATTGCCCCTAATTTCGCGACCAACCCCAGCAATATGCACATCATGGGAAAGAGCGTAATTTCCCAAACAAAAAACACAAGTAACATTTTTCGATGGGGCCCACCTGGGGCCCACGGGACCCAATTGAAATTTGGGGCCCAATGGGGCGGCCCCTACGATTTTCTTCAAAATTTGCACAGACACTCTCCTGGGCCCCCTCTTCAATCTGGCTGAAGAAACCTACCGGGGAATCCAAAGGAAGGGGCCCTAAGAGGGCCCCAAAGAGGCCCTTTCTAAGTATTGCCCCTAATTTCGCGACCAACCCCGGCAATATGCACATCATTGGAAAGAGGGTAATTTCCCAAACAAAAAACCCAAGTAACATTTTTCGATGGGGCCCACCTGGGGCCCACGGGACCCAATTGAAATTTGGGGCCCAATGGGGCGGCCCCTACGATTTTCTTCAAAATTTGCACAGACACTCTCCTGGGCCCCCTCTTCAATCTGGCTGAAGAAACCTACCGGGGAATCCAAAGGAAGGGGCCCCAAGAGGGCCCCAAAGAGGCCCTGTCTAAGTATTGCCCCTAATTTCGCGACCAACCCCGGCAATATGCACATCATTGGAAAGAGCGTAATTTCCCAAACAAAAAACCCAAGTAACATTTTTCGATGGGGCCCACCTGGGGCTTACGGGACCCAATTGAAATTTGGGGCCCAATGGGGCCGCCCCTACGATTTTCTTAAAAATTTGCACAGACACTCTCCTGGGCCCCCTCTTCAATCTGGCTGAAGAAACCTACCGGGGAATCCAAAGGAAGGGGCCCAAAGAGGGCCCCAAAGAGGCCCTTTCTAAGTATTGCCCCTCATTTCGCGACCAACCCCGGCAATATGCACATCATTGGAAAGAGCGTAATTTCCCAAACAAAAAACCCATGTAACATTTTTCGATGGGGCCCACCTGGGGCCCACGAGACCCAATTGAAATTTGGGGCCAATGGGGCGGCCCCTACGATTTTCTTCAAAATTTGCACAGACACTCTCCTGGGCCCCCTCTTCAATCTGGCTGAAGAAACCTACCGGGGAATCCAAAGGAAGGGTCCCAAAGAG